CCTGACACGCATGTGGCGCAGTGATTGAGATATTTGTGAAAGTGAGCACATAGCTTGTGATGGGTGAGAGTTCTTGGTTGTCACTTTTCCGGGTGGGTTGAGAGTGTGGGAGAATGCTCCGAGGAGGCCGGTGCTGTGTCATGTTAAATAGTGTCAATGATTCATCAGCCTCCTATATGTCGAACATCGCTGGAGCTGTGGGTCAGTGGCGGTCTGCTCTGCGGCAGGACATTCGCACGAGGACCCAGGAAATGACCATCATGCACAGAGCACTGTAGAGAACAGTTTAGCAACCCCATTAAAGCTGACATCTGTAATGCTTTTCTAAAAAAAAATTCATTATCCTTTTAGTAATAAAATGTTGTCTGTCCCTGGGCGAGACGTGCAAACACATCTTTGCTTTTTGAAGAATCTCGCCTTTGCACTGCGGCTATCTGCAGCTTCGCCCTGGAGACTGCAGACAATGCCTGAACTGTACTATAAACACCTGTAGGCTGTCGGCGTCTAGCTTACTTAAGATTTCCTTAAGATGTAATAAGGATTCTTTATTGATTGTGGTCTTTCAGACGGGGTTTGTCTGTGGTTTAGCCGAAGGTTGTTTTCTGAAACGCGGCTGTGAGTCATTGCAAGAATAAAAAAGCTATTTTCATCCAATCGGGTTTTAAAAAGGAATAGAAATCGAAAAGCACCCATCTGTACAAACTCCTTGAAACCGCAGGAGGTTGCACAGTTTAGGAGGTATGAATTAATGGATGCTCTTTTCTCATCCTTCCCCAGCGACACTGTAGAAAAGGATGGTATGTGTTTTCCGCATCGGAATTGCTATGACCTGGAACGACCTGCTGTGCTTCTTGACCTCAAGGAGCTTTGACTCAAGATAATTTTCCACACTTTGGTGCTGACAATCCTGTTGCCGGACTTGCGTTTCTTAAGTTTAAGGGTTGTGTGGTTGGGTTTGTAATTTAAGCTTGATCTTCTGCATTTTTTTTTTTTTTGCTCGGACTTCCCTGGCTCAGGCATGTGAGGCGTGTTGACGAATACATGTATGTGCATCACTTTGCTAAATTTCATCTGTTCTAACAGTGCTCAACCAGGGAGCAGTGCCTCCCAATCATTATTGTCAGTTTCTTCATTTATTTTTTTGCACTGATCTTCAGTATATTAGTGTGAGATATCAATTGAAATAGAAGGACACGAGCAGAAACTATGTGCATTGAAAACCTGTAACAGGAGGCATATCTTTGTACAAAGAGTTGTGGGGGTATGGAACGAGCTACCCAGCCATGTTGCCGGAGGCGAAGCCCTGGCTCTTCCAAGAAATGGCTGTATGAGATTCTCCAGGGTCAATTAACTGCTAATTACCAAACAGGCTAGAGGGGCAGAATGGCCTCTTATTTGTCACCTTTCAATATGTGACTGGCATAACTCAAGTTTATGCCACTACTGCGAGGAATAAATCGGGTGCATAAATCAGACTTGAATCGGTTCCAGATTGGAACTTTAGTTAAACTAAGATTTAACCCCTTTGTAAAGAAACAAAAACTATACACAGTTTAGACTGTGTGATAGCGCTCGATGACCATTTATATAACAAAAACGTAATGCTCTCTGTACACCTAGAGAGCGAAACTGCTCTCAGCTGCAGTGGAAAAATATATATTTTTTTTACAATTTATTTTTCAACTCCGCTTAGCTTTTCCAAAGCCTTCGCCTGCAGATCCCGTAATTTTCCATCGGCTCCTCGTACCCCCCCCCCCCCCCCCCCCCCCGTTGCTGTCCGCGGGTCCGCTCTCAAGTGCGCCTTTTCATTAAGTGCCGTAGTAGTTTGGTTTCAGTCTTGGCCTTGGTGGGGAAATTCCAAACGGGTCAATGAGAGAAACGCAGCGCAGGATGGCTGTAATATGATCGAAAAAGCTCTATTAATTTAATACAAACGCGGTCTTTATTTGCGACCGCTCGGGCTGTAACCCGAAACCTTGGTTAAGCTTGGAACACGAGTTCTGTCCGGGGTGGGAGACGGTCCTTTTGATCTCGCTCGGTGAGAAACTGGGACGTGTCGTCGGACGGCTCGGTTCTTTTCCATGGGGCGCGGCAGGGGTTTGACCCGATCCTGGTTCTCGAGGTGTGTGCGTGACCATTAAACCCGGCTTGCGGAAGAGGCTTGAACGGATTGGGGGGGGGGAATCGGAGCTGGAATGTCGGTGTTTGAAGGAGGGGGCGCACCAGTGAACCTACTGCTCGTTAGCGCCCACTCCAGCTCTTTCTTATGTGCTTAAAGGCTTTCAGGTATTTTGCAGGCACCTGGTTGCTGAGCTGAGTGCCTGTTCTGTATGTCGGTTTATCTTTCATATGCACACACATTTTATGATTAATAAACTTAGTCTTGCATTCCATTTTTTGAGCAACGTCTTTAAGTTTACACAATGTTCTTACTTGATTTTATTTCAAATGAAGAGTTCTTGCTCTTCATATTGTCCTATTTCCCCCTCCACAGTGCACTTATGGTACCGAGATCCAGCAGTGATCACTCCACAGGCTTAAACCTTAACCCTGGCCTTGTTGGGCAGCATTCAGTCCCTGTGCTCTTCCCCAGCCTGGGTGCTGTTTTACGGCCAGTTGTTAGCGCACATTAGCTCTCAAACTGTGCTTGCCAGTGAGGTGGCAGCCAGGTGTGAAACCAGTTCTTAGCTCCCTGATGCTAAACACTGGTCACTGACTGACAGGGTAGCCCTGAACCGCAGGAAGTGACTGCAGCTGCAGGCGTGTGCTCATGGCCTTCATTCAGCAGGCTCTGTTTTTTTTTTCTTTCAGAAAGGGGTGGTGTTGCCCTGTGCGGAGGCCTGCCAACTTGCCAGGGGTTGATCTTGTGGGCTGCAAAGGCGCATGAGGGTTGGGCGGCAGTGCAGTCGATAGCATTGCGCCCTGACCGGGCCGGGGCCCTGGGTTCGATTCCTGGGGTGGTTTCTGTGTGGAGTTTGCATGGATTTCCTTTGGGTGCTCCCGTTTCCTTCTGCAATGCAGAGACATACTGGTAGGATAATTGGCTTCTAGGAAAATTGTCCCTGGTGTGTCCGTGTCCATTTGTGCCCCATTGTGGACTTTTCGGGGTGTATCCTGGCTTGCACCCATTGCTTGCTGGAATAGACTGTGGGGCCCCCCTATGACCCTGGTGGGACCAGGACAGGAGGGTGGTGGGCTCCAGAAAACATGACAGTGACAAAACATTCTCCCTTGACAGTGAGCCAGGTCTGCTTTTGCAATCAAGCTCGGATTTCCACTCCAGTAGCCTCTCCGCGAAACCCAGGTGGTCTCGCGTTCAATTGAAAACCAGGAATGTGTGCGGATGCAGACGATGTGCCCCTCTCCTGCTTGTGTGCCCCCTCAGTTTCAGGGCAGCTAATAATCAACCATCCTAACAATAATCCCCTTCTTATTCTTTTAACCATTTTGCTGTCAGTGCTGAGTTCCTGAACTCAGGCTGTCCAACTGGATTCCATGCTGGGAACGTGAAGGGTGTGATGCCATATCCCTAAAAATACCCATCAGAATGACATGATATTCTGCTTTTTCTGGAGCAGACAAAAATATCCAACTTTTTCCTGGTTCTGCTCCTTTTTTTTGTTGTTTTTCGTGATGCATCCAATGCTATAAAAGAAAAAAAAATCTCGGCACCTTGATTTGTTCGGTTAAACTTAAGTATTGCTGTCTGATGAAGGCCTCGTATTGTACCAAAAAATGCATTAATTGGATTCGTGATAAAACGATACATGTGGCAACTTTTTTTTTTTTTAACTTTCCGATCTAACAAAGCCCTGAGGGGAATCCCTTTGCAGATGAAGCTTCACAGGAGACCCCCTCCATAAAGGCAGCAGCAGGCAATGGCTAGCCTGCTGGGCTCAGAGGGGTCACTGGAGGGACTTTTTCCTCAGTTCCTGCCCTCTATCTCCAGCATGGTGCTGGTGGGGGATTGGTGTACTAGGTCATCATTGTCTTGTAATAAAGAAAATAAAAAAATCCTGGTGTGGCAAATACATTTCAATGAAGGATAATGTTCGTTACAGTGTGAGCCTGTTTTATTCAAGGATTTGGGTGGACAAAAGCACTGTCCCACAGGCATATCAATAACAACCCCTCCACCTCCTGCCACCTGCAGTGTGATAAAATAACACTGGCAGGAGTGAAAGAAAACGGGGGCGTCACCCGAGACAGTGCTTTCTTTTGAATGTAGCTTCTCTTGCACGGCTGCGTTACCGCTGTCTGTTCAGGCAGCCCTAAAGATCTTGCAAAATTTTTTTTTTTTAGTTTCTGTTGTGTAATGTGCTGCTGGATACACACCAGGGTGTTAGTTTTTGTTCATCGCTGCGTTTAGCGTTTTTGTGCCTTCTGGGAGGAAGTCAAAGTTCTGTAGGAGTCCGACGCGTCTTGTTCGTGCTGCAGAGAGGAGCCTGTGTAGTCTTACTAGACCAAAAATTGGCGCTGGAAAACACTGCGAGAAAGTAAGCTGTTTGGAATTCGGGACCAAGAAATTCAACTAGGTGGAGTTTTTTTTTTAATTTGTTTTTTTCCCCCAGTTTCCATTTTCAGACTTGCTGCTCCATTCTAAAAGGCTCTCTCAGGGGTGAATTAATGACGCCTTGTGCTCTCGAACAGGCTCGTGTTATTAGCCTATCTCTTGTTTACTTAGGCTTGAGGATTTTTTTTTAAAAAATGTATCGGGTCAGCATAATTTGTTTTCCCTTTTCTTATTATGTTAAGTACATTAAGCCCTTCTCCGAGTGTATTTAGCTTTTAGAGAGGCACACTAATGCTCTTTAAGGTTGTATTTTATTCCGTAAGAGCACATCTCTAACCAGCCAGTTGCCGACATTAATAGCACGGGGATGGAGATTAATAGATGTGTTGAAGTAAGAGGAAGATGTAGGAAAAGTGTGGCTCAGTCTTGCAAAATTAAACCCAGTATACTATATATACACTTTGAATTATCCTGCATTGTTTTACAGAACCCATGGAGCTGGGCATGTGGCTGAGGCTTTGCACGGTGGAAGACGGTCTGTCCACGTTCATCTCTGGGGGCAGCCCCTGAACCTCGAAGGGAGGGACCCACTCCTCTGAGGGATCCACGCCCTCCCGCACCCCCCCACCCCGAGATGATCGGGAAGCTGAAACAGAACCTGCTGCTGGCCTGCCTGGTTATCAGCTCCATCACGGTCTTCTACCTGGGCCGCCATGCCATGGAGTGCCACCACCGGATAGAGGAGCAGGGCCAGCCGGGGGCCGCGGGCGGCTCGGGGGCCACCCTGCAGACCGGCCCGGGCCGCAACTCCAGCGCCTTCGCCTACAACAAGGACATGCCCCTCATCTTCATCGGGGGCGTGCCCCGCAGCGGCACCACGCTCATGCGGGCCATGTTGGACGCCCACCCGGACGTCCGCTGCGGGGAGGAGACCCGGGTCATCCCGCGCATCCTGGCCATGAAGCAGATGTGGAGCCGCTCGGGGCGGGAGAAGATGAGGCTGGACGAGGCCGGGGTGACCGACGAGGTGCTGGATTCGGCCATGCAGGCCTTCCTGCTGGAGATCATCGTGAAGCACGGGGAGCCGGCCGCCTACCTGTGCAATAAGGACCCCTTCGCCCTGAAGTCCTTGACTTACCTGGCCAAGATCTTCCCCCACGCCAAGTTCATCCTGATGATCCGCGACGGCCGGGCCTCGGTCCACTCCATGATCTCCCGCAAGGTCACCATCGCCGGGTTCGACCTGGGCAGCTACCGGGACTGCCTGACCAAGTGGAACCGGGCCATTGAGACCATGTACGCCCAGTGCCAGGAGGCGGCCGACAAGTGCCTTCCGGTGCATTACGAGCAGCTCGTCCTGCATCCCGAGAAGTGGATGAGGAAGCTGCTGAAATTCCTCGACATTCCCTGGAACGAGGCGGTCCTGCACCACGAGGACCTGATTGGGAAGGCGGGAGGTGTCTCGCTCTCGAAGTAAGTGGTGGTGGGTGCACTACACGGGTTTGGGGTAAAAAAGTAGAATCCTGCTTTTTAGAATTTTTCAGGATTGGCAGGCATCACCACTGTAGGAGTTATTTAAGCGATGGATGTTTTTTAACGATCCATATGGTGTTTATGCCATTTTCTCCTTGGCTGAAGCAAAGTGCTGTATCTGAAGCTGTTACTTTCGCTAGAAGACAGCTTTTCCACTGTCTTTTTCTGACACGCAGTGTGGGGGAGAGGTGTGTATGTAGATGTAGGGGAGGTGTACATTGTGCAGTAAGGAGTAATGAGACCACCAAGGGCTTGAAGTCTGCTTTTTCTGAGAGGGTACTGAGCAGAGACAGTCAGGTCTCCCATGTGCTCTCTGTATGATAAGAACATTAACCCTCTACTTTACTCTCTACAGAACTGTTTCTGTGTTTTTATAACTTATGTCCTCCACTAAAGTCACACAAGATCTTTTTTTCTTCACTGAATTTGTCATCACGAGAGTCGCCTCACAGCAATGACCCTTGTTCCATGTGCAGAAGAAATGCAGACAGGCTCTGCAGTGATGCACAGGAGGTTCATTGCTGATTGGAGGAGGAGCAGGTGACATCAGTCTGGCCCCGCCCACTCCAGCAGCATTGAGCCAGTGGTGTGCTTAGACTTGAAGAATCCCAAATGGTCACCAAGGGCTCGAACCAGGGACACGAAATCTAACCTGCACTCAGAGGGAGCACCCTTATCAGTTGTGCCACTCAAGTGTCAAAGGTGTGAATAACCGTTTCTGTTGCAGAAGGTGATGCAGAAGCAGGCGTCTTAAGCTCAAGACCTGAGGGCATCTGCCGTCATCTAACCTGAGCAATCGGTTAAGCAATTAGCCTAGTTACTTCATCTCCAAAAAAGAAATTGTACTGCTGATTACTAAAAACTGGTAAAACACCTCTTCAGGGTTAGAAGTATTGCATTTAATAATTAGGCCAGCTGTGCAACTAAGAGATCAGATTGAACAAAAAACTGCAAGACTACATGCCTCTTACATTTGCTAAATTGACCAAAATCCTTTGTAATCTACAACTTTACTCGCATCAGAGGTTCTCAGCCTTTGGTAGGCATGGCAAAAAAGGGTTAAGTCACGTGCGGCTTGAGACCTGGAATACATTTTAAATTATTGAGGTGATGCTGACAATTTGGAGGAGTGTTGGCAACTGCCAGCTGAGGTGGAAGAGAAAAGGGCAGAGCCCCCTGGAGGCTCTGAACAGCTGGAGCTCTGCACATCTGTCACGGGCAGCAGGCTTTTGTCGGGTTCACCCCCGTCATTTTGAATCCTTCTTGGTTTTTTGTTACTTGAATTCTAAAATATGATTGTTTTTAAAGATGTGCATTTCGAGCGCGACACTTTCACAGACAGGCTTCATTTTAAAACGGACATCCTGCACGCAACGCAAGATTGAGAATGTTCGGTGCAATGAATGTTGTTTAAGATGTAATTGGTGACGCCTGCATCAAGTTTAAAAAGATCAATCTAGCGCTTGAAGACATTGTTGTTGACGTGGAAAGCTGTTTGATCGCGCGTCATGCCTCCCAGGCCTATCCGTGTTGACGCAACTAAAACTGTAGCCATGTGTGAGTCAGAGCTGTGTGACCTTTGACTGCTGCTGCCTCCTCAGACAGGCATGTTAATGTTTTCAGCTTTTAAATTAGGAGATGTCTGCAATTCGGAGAAGGAAAACTACATTTTTCATACCTCAATACTGCTCTTTTTTTTTTAAAGTCCACAAGTCGCCATTTTTAACTCTTCGAATGTCGCTGTTGGGCAGGCTTGGCGTTTTTTTTTTCTTCCTGCACGTTAACTTTCTTGCCCTTTGGGTTTCCTCCAGCTCATGGCCCAAGGGCAGGTTTTCCCTCAAAACCGCGTTGAGGTTCAGTGAAAAACAAGAGAGAGGATTTGTCTTGAGGGAGATTCTGCCCTGTTGTAGGGTTTGACCTCACCTGGCGAGAGTAGAAATCTCTGAAATACCATTTTTGTAAACATTATGCAGTCCAAGCCAATTTAACCTGAACCCGGTTTTTCCTCCAGAACTGTGCCATCATGTCTGAAAGGAGCTATGTGGCACCTCTGTGAGTCTTCTGCTGTGAAATATTCTCTCCTCAGCCTGTGAAGGGCTGTATTTAAGATGCTTTTTATATATATATTTTTTTGTCAACATTCAAAGGGATAAACCTTGAAGATGGTGTGGAAGGGGTCCCGGGTGGGTGGTATCTGTCATGTGAGCCTGCACGTGACGGAAAAGAACAAGCAGTGCTCATTTCCTAAAACCAGTTTTTATTTCTAGAGGCTGGATTCGCTCGAGCAGCAGTGGTTGAGGAAGATTCTAGTGCTGTTGCCGATTGATCGATCGGTTTGCTTGTCCTCATTGTCCACTTGAGGCTTTCTGACATGCTATCCTATCTGAACTCCTTCATTTCACAATATGAGGAATGTCTTAAAATTCGATTTTGTTCTTTGCCAAGGCAATCGGAGCCCATCCAATTAGGGACCTAACTAGTACGTGGATTTGATTACACAGGAAATGTAGGCACAGTGGTTCAGCAGGATGGCCGGTGAAACCATCGCAGCCCGTTCAGTTAATAGAGTTGTCTGTTCATTTAGACAGGACCCAGACAGAAAGGTCTGGGTCTCTCCTGCTGTGCTGTTCAGCTGCTGGGTCACTGGGCTTTCTGGAATCTCCTTCTCATTACCAGTTTGTGGGCTATTAGAAAATTAAGTTTTGGTGTTCTCTGCAAAATCCCACACCTCCCTTTTTCTTGTCCTGGGTGGATTGGGTTACAGTGTGTGCTCTCTGATTCATTTTTTCTTCATTATTGATGTTGAAAGTAAATATCACATCTCAGTCTTCCCAGCAATTACTGTTGTTCAGCTCAAGTATGATCTAGGTCTCTTTTTTTTTTTGGCATGCGTGGACATTGCAAGGAAATGCTTTTTAAAACCCTTTTCTCGGGCAGTGTGCAGGCGTGACAGATCCACACGAGAGCATGGCCGAAAATGACAAACTTCTCCGTGAAGACCCCCTACCATGGAGGTGGAGCATGCGATGCAGAGCAGAATCGATTTTTTAATTTTTTTTTCCAGATCACTTCATTAGCAGTACTGTGCAGGAGAAAATCCATTTTCCATGGCCGCATATATAGGTCAAGCTCTATAAACCTGTACAGGTCTTGCGGACGTGTCAATAGACCAAGCCAAGATTCAGGCGGTTTTTTTCCCCACTGACCAGTCAGTCCCATTCACCCTGGTAATAGTGACCGGAGCCGTCCTGTGTCCAGTTACCAAACAGACAGGGTGGAGAGATTCATTAGCATTTGTGTTGGGAGATAATCATCGGCAGTGTAAACATTGACCACCACACAGTAAAAAAGCGGGTAGATAAAGTGTCGGGAATCCGTCCTCCGAGAGTTTCGGTGTAACGAGAAACTGCCGGTGGGATGCCAGCTCCAGCCTTCTTCATTAATTGGCTGCGATTCTTTTTCTTTCAACACGACAGAAGTGTCCGGAGGATCATTGATTCCTTCCTCTCCGCCCCCCGCTGGAGCGGTCTGCTCTGGCTGCGAGCATGGCCCACAGTCGGCCAGCGGTGAGGCGCTGCTCGAGCTTCGGTACACGTCGGGTTTAAACGATTTTAAAAACTCATTTGTTTACAGACGCTTGTAGTGCAGCTGCAGTGCAGGAGAACGCAGTTTCCTGCGCTGTGCTGGCATTTTTTCTAAACAAAGAGGATGTTTGTGTGAGATTTCCAGATTTGTTTTTTTAAGTGTTAAATATTTTCCATGTGCATTGCATAGAAGTCTTCCTTTTCCTTTTTAGTCATTTATTTCGTTGAGGTCTGCTCAGACCCTTGGACGGTTTGGTGAAGAGGAGCTGCCAGCCCCTATGTATTGGAGACTAAAGTGCTTTTGCTGTTTTCTGCATTTAAAAAAAGTTGCCCTCTATGCATGATACCGGGAGTACAGCTTTCCTGTGCTTTTGTAACTAGAGCTGTGGTTTGTGTTACAGATTGAGTGGGTAACGCATACTGTGGATGTGTGCTCGCCTGTCTGTCTGTGCGGATTTGCATACACTGCAGTTATCAGTACTGGATTGATGCCTTTTGGTTTTTGACATTCGTGATTCACTGTAGTGGGGCAGAAGAACTGCGCCCAAGCAGTCACAGTTACCCAGCAGCAACCTATGGAAATAATACTGCAGAACCAGAAAGGAGAGAAGGACTGGAGGTAATGAGGTTGTTCTGTGCAAGAAGCGATTGTGCTCTGCAGAGCAAGACTGATGTGGTTCCCACTTTCCTCCAGACTTGTTCCTTCACTCTACTGCGTGCATGAGAGAGCTTTGCAAGTAGAACAGCAAATCACAATAGCGACTGGTATGCAAAACGCAAGTGAGCTGCCGAGCTCCTCTCCTCCAGTGCGCAATGAATCGAGATCGGGGGGCCGTTTGTACATTTGCACCCCAGAACAACAAAGCTGAGCATCCGTCTCCTTGGGCGCTGACAGCCACGCTGATGGATTTCAATTATTTTTTTTTTCCACGGCTTTCGAGAGCTCACCCAGGGGCTGCGTCGCGTCGGCAGAGCAGATGCATTATCCTCTCCAGCCCATTGATTTTAATCAAATATTAATATACCCCCATCTAAACCCAGAGCCTCTCGAGCGGGGCCCCAAGAAAGACAAACTCTCAAGACGGCGGGCGTCTCGTCTTGGGTAACTACACCGCAAAATGAATACCTTGGATCTGCTCGATAAAGAAACGGCGAACCAGGCGGCCAAAGATTAAATACATGCTGTCATTGTTTCAGTGTACAGATCGGTGAGGATATAATGATAGGGGCTGGTTACTAGACACACACACGAGGAAAAACTAGGGAAAGGGGAGGTTCAAGACGGCAGAGCAGAACTCTTTCACAAGGGCAGTGGTCCATTGGAGGAATTTTTCTATTGCAGGCAGTTTTTAAATGCTGCCACTTCACATCACACACCAGGCCTCAAAACCCACTCGGAGTTTCTGCAAAGCTAATGCATTTGCCCGAGACCACGTCGGTCGGCGGCACTCTGAACTTCATGCACGCCCTTCTGGGCTTGGGCTGAAACCGGCAGTAATAAAAGATGAATTAATAGGCCAGCCTAGCCCACATCTAGACACGGTGGGTGTTTACTAGACACATGGGGAAAGTTTTGGCTTTCAGTACACAGAAGTAACATAAAAGACGGTCTCTTTTGTGCTTTTGGTGGGGGGGAGGGAGGGAGTAGTTACAGGCTTGGCCTTTCACATTTGTCTCTGCAAGATGTAGCATTGAAAGGTAGTTTCTGGTAAGCGCGCACGCAGAATGGGTCGAATGAGATTCTCCTGAAGCGAGGTACCAGTGCTGTGAACTTAATCCCAATAACACGCTCTTGTGATGGGATTTGCAAGTTAAGATGATGCCGAAACACAGGCTGGAATTCAAGGATTGTGGATTAGTGGTAGGAAATTTAGATTTAGTGTTTCAAGGGAGTTCAGTGGTTGGAAACTAGTGGTGGTGACTGAGCAGTCAGAAATTTGAAGCTGCACACTGACCTCTGCAGTAGTCTGGAATTTCCGGAGGGGATTTCTGATATGTTGCTGGAACAGCCATAGTGAGAAATGGGTCCCCCCCTCTCCCTCCACAGCCACTCGAGGGGATAGTCTGGTAAAGGAGGTCTCAAGTGCAGGCTGAGCTCTGGGAGCGCAGGTTCGAGCCTGTCTTGCCCTAGTGGCAGTGCAGAATTGGCGGGCAGATGGGATCAGCGACTGGCTCGAAGGTGGCAGGGGTGGACGAGTCTGCCCTCACTTCCTCCTTCTGCCCCGTGTGCTGCCACCTCATCGCAGCTGTGAGGCCAGAGGTAAAAACCGCACAACTGGTTATTTGTCCTCACCCTGGCTTCCTGTCAGGTTTCCTGTCAATATTTCAAAATCCTCATGCTCCACCTATAAGGCGCTGCAAGGCTTGGAATCTCAGGACCTCTCTGACCAACTATTGCCCTACTCCCCACCTTGCCTCCTTCGTTCATCTAATTCTAGTCTCCAGTCTCTCCCCCAAGCCTGTCTTCATACTATGAGTGACAGGGCCTTCTCCTGCTGCACCCCAAAGCTCTAGAACTCTAACCCCAAGGATATCAGCAAGACATCTTCCCTGAGCTCTTTCAGATCTAGACTCAAAACCATCTTGTCCAGAAGGGTTCATATTAAATTGGTTCTGTGTGCCCCTTGGCTGTCCTACTGTATTCCACACCCCGATCTATTATCTCCTCTCAATGTGTCTTTTTTGTTGTTCTGTAATCTGCTTTGAGAAGCCACTTTTAGAGGTGCTATATAAAAAAAATAGTGTATATATGTATTTATTGCCAAATCTAAAATCACTAGTGATATTTAATTTTTGCAAAAAAATTATATAAGCTGTAATAGTTACTGCATCGGGACAAGAATTGCCCCAAATGTCTTGCAGGAAGAATCTGTCAAGCCAGAGCCTTTGTGTTGTATGTCAAGTTTTTTGCTTGCTTTGCTTGCTGCTCTTGATCAGATGAGATCTCTGCTTTTAACACTGTTGGTGACCTGCATTTACAGTGTGTTTTAGAGCTATAAATATTGGCCTGCTGCCATGTTTCTTAAGTTACTGCAGGGTGTCTATTAGGCAGCGAAGAATCGATACACGTTTGATTCGTTTTCACGACTTGTTTAGGTTTTTAGTCTGGCTGTATTACCACTATTGCTGACATTTGAGCAGTGAGGGGCAACTGATAACACCTGGGAAACCAAGATTGGACTTGGGAATTCTGTTAATCATTAATTGCTGCAGTTATTGCACAGGATTTTTTTTCTCCCGTGCCTATCTAAATGAAGGATACCGGAGGTCCTGAGATCTGCCAGAGTGGGTAGAAGGTGGTTAGAAAGTTTGCAGGTGTTTCTGTTCTTGCCCCCATTTCTTGACAGAGGGCATTTGACAGAGACGCTCTTTACAAATCCTACCCGTTTCCTATACTTGGAATGGAAATGCTCCAGCTGTATTAGTCATGCAGGAGCAATGGCAGTGGGGAAAAATGCATTTTTAATGTTGATGGATCAAAGCACATGCAGTATTGACTGGGAGGGGGCAGACAAACAAGCCTGATGTCGTCGGGGCTGCTCTCGTGTGCAGGGAGAACAGGCCAGAAGACAGTCACAGGTCCGTAAGGTCAGGATCCAACACCAAGGAGGAGAACTGGACATGCAAGCTGGTACCAAAGAATAAGATATATTACTTAAGCCATATAAATAGGGTTATAATAATTCCTTATGCTTGTATAGCTCTTTTCTGGACACTTTGCTCAAAGCGCTTTACAGGTAATGGGGATCCCCTCCACCTCCACCAGTGTGCAGCCCCACCTGGATGATGCGCCAGTGCTCTCAGTGGGGAGGAGAGCAGAGTGTTGAGGCCAGTTCAGAGATGGGGATTATTAGGAGGCCATGATTGGTAAAGGCCAGGGGAAATTTGCCAGGAAGCCGGGGTAACACCCCTACTCTTTTCTTGAGAAACACCCTGGGGTTTTTAATTACCACGAGTCAGGACATCGATTTTACGTCTTGTCCAAAGGATGACGCCTTTTAACAGTATAGTGTCCCCGTTGCTATACTTGGGCATTAGGACCCATGCAGACCACAGGGTGAGCGCCCCCTAGTGGCCCCAATAATGCCTCCTCCAGCAGCAACCTAGAGGTTTTTGAAAATGCTAGCAAAAGATTAAATTAGTTTGCCTGTTGAATAGTTGGGAATATTTAATCCCAAGGCAGGGCTCTTGCTAGTCCCTGCAATCATGGTTTACTACCTTCTGCTCACTGAAGTGGCTCCAGCTCTCTGTAGCGGGACTGCACGACGCAGATGTCCGTGCGCTGGAGGAATGGGGCCGGAGGGGGTATTAATCCTCTCCCTGCAACAGGTTGGAATCTCAGGTTGCAAAAAGCAGCACAAGTTGTATTTCTCTGCTTTTAGAAGCACATTCCCCAGCAGCCTGGCAGCCACTCCAGAGCCCCTTTCCTGTTCTTCTCTAACCTTTGTTGTCATTTTTGTATTTGGAGTGCAGGAGACAAGTGTTCTCATTATCGGGCGTTTGCCTGCCTGCCTGCTGTGAATTCTTCCTCCGTCTGCAGCTCTAGAGCATCAAGGGTATTCAAGGGTGCGTGACAAGGCAGAGTTTTTGAGCACACGAGCTGAGGCAGTTTGCTGTGTACATTCAACTGCAGATAAAATAGCCTGTATGGTGAGTCATAAAGCAGGCTTTATCCAAGAAATGGCCTCCGAGTGTGCATATAAAAAACGTGTACAGAATGATACATTTGCGGTCCTGTTTTTTATTGATCGTCTTCTAGCTGTGCTCCTACAGATATTTTTTGGATCATGCACTGCTGGGGCTTCTGTTATCCTTTTCCAGTCTCGCGTCATGTCTATTTTGGAGAGCATGACTTCGTGTGTGTGTGTGCGCTCAGGCTGAGATCAGGGCATCGGCTCGAAGTGGATCTCCGGGCAGCCTGGCAGTCTGTTCTCTGTCTGGGGGGGGCAGTTAGACAGTCTGGCCACGCTGTTCTGCGATCCGACACCACGGAGAGCTCGGGTGGGATCTTGGGGGGGGTACACTGCCGTTCGAGGAAAAACGAGTTGGGTTCCCCCTGGCTAATTCTTCCTTGTTGGGCTCAGTCGCAGCCACAATGAGAGCCTTGTTTCAGACGCCCCCTCATTCGCTACTGCCAGCGGATCGGTGTCCAGACAGAAAAAGAGCTCCCTGGAGCACACAAGTTCAGCACCACCTCCCCCCTGCAGTCTGCCTTCGGAGCATTCCCTGCTCCTGCTCTTTAACTCACTCCGGAATGAAATAGAACATGGAAGGGGGAAATAAATTGGGACTTGTAAAGTTAGTGGGGTTGTTCCCTTGGCTGTGGCACAAGAGCAGGGAGGTGAGGAATGTGTTCCCCACGACAGCACAGCGCACAGCAGAGCTGCCCGCCCAGCCCGCGCAAGGTAGCGGAAACGCAGCACCAGAGAGCGACCTTCTTGTTCTGTTGGAATGGCCTGTTGTCCTGCTGAAGTGGCAGGAAAGGGCCTCGGTTCGGCCATTAAAGGTTCACTGCAGTCCCAGTGTCTCAGACCTGTTACTACATTGAGGTACCGAAACTAGAAGGAGGTTTTTTACCTGCGTTGCGTGATCTGGTCTCTTGCCTTGTGAGGTGGAACGAGAGCCGTTGTAAAACGCCATCCATCTCCCTTTCTCTCCCTTGCAGAGTCGAGAGGTCTACTGACCAAGTCATCAAGCCGGTCAATGTGGACGCCTTATCGAAGTGGGTGGGCAAGATTCCGGCCGACGTCCTGCGGGACATGCCCGCGATCGCCCCCATGTTGGCACGGCTGGGGTACGACCCGCATGCCAACCCCCCGAACTACGGCCGGCCGGATCCCCAAGTCCTGGACAACACCAGAAGGGTGAGTGCTCCCTCGTGGGGTCGAGGGTTTGGAGAGGACGCGCTCCTCCCAGCGTGATTTATTACCGCGCTGCGGCTGGACATAGCCGACCAGACCCCTACATTCCCAGGCCTCGGGTTTCGGCTGAGTCGTTGAGGAATGAGGTTTCTTCCAAGGAAAAAGAACACTTGCCAGCCTTTTTTATTTTTAAATAAGACCCTGTAATCTAATTTTGGCTCTGGGTCCCCTGTGTAGGGTTTATGTTGACGATGACCTTTTACCTGCAAGTGGAAATGTCTGTAGTTGTCCAGAACGGCACATTTTAAACCATTTTCGATTTCATGAGGTGTAAAGTTTAGACCAGTCAACCTTTGTACAGTCAAAGGTTCAGTAACTGAGCCACTACTGGTGACATTTAACTTACTGTACACAAACTCTGATCTCTCTTGCTTCAGCAGAATCTGTGGGAGTTTTTTTTTATTCCACTGTCTCCTTTACCGCTACATCCTTAACAAGTGAAGGTGTACGTTTTGGATCGGCACGAAAAATTGCTCAAGGAAACTCTTCTTCCAGCTACTGTTTCTATTATTATCCACTGTTGGAAGCTTGGAATGTGTAGCATCTCGCCAGCATTAGGATAAAAATAAAATATTTACTTGTGTGATAAGATACAAATGTTTCTATAACAAATATCTCCACTGAGGTTGGAGATTGAAAATATACAAGATAGCTATGTGCAGGGTAGAGATCTCAGTCATGGTTGTTCAAAATACTTAGTTTTTTTTGGATGAGACAAGTGTCCACAACAGAAAAGTTTTAATCTTTAATAACCTTGGTTATTACTGAGGCTGTGGGTTGGTTTTTCAGTAGAACTAAATACAGCACTTTACCCGTCTCACTGCCTTGAAGTCACTGATAAGCAGCAATTAGCAAGGTCTTATCCTCTGGTGTAGCAGACTCCCAGTCCACAGCTGTGGGCCAGCAGTGTATAGTGGGAATATCTGAACAGTGCTGATGTATGGTATAAGTGCATATGTAGTCCCACATATAGGAGGACACCCACTTCATTTTCCACCTTAGTACAACCCCACCTGGGGGGGACACCTGCAGCCTCGCTGCTCAGCAGCTCAGGTAGAGATGCTAGACAGTGGCTCGCCACTTGAATTAAGAAGGAAATAGAGTCCAGGTTGTGCAAGGCCAGACTGGAATAGAGTACTGTTAATAAGCAGTTGTTTTTTGGCAGCCTTTTTGCTGAAATTGGACAGCTGAGCGGACGTCTTGTGTGCAGCTGCCCAGGGAAATGCAGGCTTTCGTGTTCAGTGTGCTTTTGAGCAAAGTGAGCCCCCTTCTCTTGCTGTAATCGGGAGTTTTACCTGCCTGTTCAGAAAGATCTTGGTCACGTCTGGAAGTGTGATGGGGGATAAAGAATGTTCAAATGCAATAAAAGAGAACAGTGTGTAAAGCTGACAGTCTTCAGGATGATATTTGATAATGCAGTGCATCTCATAAAGGCAGACTGAGTAAATAGGAGGCCATCTACCCAGGGCTGTAGAAACGGATGGAGGGGATATATCCACATATTGATTCTGTGTTGTCTTTGACAAGTAGCATTATCATCTGTACACGCAAGCTGGCAGCCTGTGGAGAACAGTCTAGGTGGGCTCGTGGAGAATGATGTCAGTTCTGAGATGGTGGGGGGGGCTCAGTCAATAGATATTTATCTGCCCCCCTCCCCGCAGGGCGTGTGTGACAGACGGACATCGGACGCTGTGCATGCGGTTGAGCGTCGCTGGCCAGAAAAGCTTGCGTCGCCTGGCCTCGGCACTCTGCACTGCTGGCTAGAACTATCCCGGGCGGTACATATCCCCATGGGGGAGACTTCTGCGCAGTGTCAGGGGGGCCTCTGATCATGAGCGCAGCAGGAGCTACTGCAGGCAAAATAAAACAACATCCAGGGTTTGCTCTAAAAATAGTCGGATATTGGAAGTAGACTTTCTGTGATGGGCTGTGATGAAATTGCCGTGTTTTTAGGAGCAAGATGAAAGTAGAACTCCTAAAAAGTCTGTCATCCACCAATGGGTCATTAAAGACTGGTGCCATGCGACGTGTTTTCTTGACTGCTGCCCACTTCCCAGAAAAGTCTGAACTTGTATGCAAGTTTTTCCTCGTTTTTTTTTTTTAATCTGTCTGCTGTGAAGTGTTGCTGCCTGTAGTAACAGGGACTCCGTAAATAGAGCCGGTCTGACGATTTCCAAGAGCCCTTCCCTCCAGAGACATAGACGCGAGTCTGTGCGGAGAACCGGAGAGCGGACGGAGTGAAGCCAACGCCGCCCAGTGCATCTCGGCCTGCAGCCCGAAGGTTTACAGCGTGCGGGAGGGGGGCGGGAGGTTAAGATGAAATGGACTTCCTCTGTTAAGATCATTAAATCGCTTTATGCACGCACAGAGGGCATCTGCCCGTCTGTATATTTTATGAGGCCTTGATGATCCATCTGTCAGAGCTGCATTTAAGCCATATAGAAGCCTGTCGGACTTTCATCATCTTTGTTTGAGAGGTGTCTCTGTGGCCATATAAAGACCTCTCACAGTGCATCCACATACCAGAAAGCTTAAATATGGGTGTTCTGAGAGGGCCCGAGTTAAAAATTTAATGATGTAGTTGTAATGTTAAAAGTATAAGAAGTTCACTTGTGCATTTTTTTAAAGCCTTTTAAAAGTATTTTAATGTTATTGTACTGATCGGCGCACAGGCTGTATTTGCTCCAGTATCTTTCTATAGTGTTTCTCTGGCTAAAGTGTGTGTGTGTGCATCTATAATTTTAGGGCATGTTAATCCCCATGTTGGGAAGGGAACTTTTTTTCTTTACTCTACTTTTCTAATTTTCACTTTCACTCTACTTTTCGAATTCCTATTTCTTTGAAGAAAATGCCTATCCAGCTCGGTGGTCGGTGCTGAAAGCAGAGCAAAATTTCTCAGATTACAGTACAGTTTGTTCTCTGGTCTCTGGCATTTTTTTTTACATTCAAAATATTTATACGACATATCATAAAACATTTTTCCAGATGTTTTTTTTTTAAACGGCAGCGAGAACAGAAAGATCCACAAGCTCTCTGAATGCGCTCTCTCGCACATGGGGGCTCTCTGCTGGGCTGCAGGAGACCGGGAAACGGGATGCGGTCCTGGATCTGAGCCCGAAAAATGGGGACAGGCGTTTTTTTTTTGTTAGATGAAACTCCAGAACTCTGCAGGGGTCCCAGCTGGAACCCCGCTGGCTCGCACTGTGCGGGAGGTACTGGTGGTGTGAGGTCGGGGGGGTTGGGGGGTGGTTGCGTTGGAGCCTGGCATTGTTTTTCCTGCTAAATGGAGAACAGAACGGTCTTCCCAGCTCTGGCTTCCTGTCCGCCGCGGTGAGCAGTGTTAACAGCAAATGAGTCAATTAGACTGAAGCACGCTACCGGGCCTACTGAGCAGCTGCCAGATCATTCCCAGTCCCAGTCCCCCCCCCCCAATCCAGAGGCCTGAGAAATCCCTCCTGTGCCTTTCGTCGGCACGCTCCAGTGCTGGTATTCTTTTCCTGCTTGCCGGCTGTATTCTTTTCCTGCTGGGGAGGGGGGGGTGTTTTGTGTTGCTGCTGGACTGCCCTCTGGTCCTGTGTCCAGCACTGCAGGCGGCCGCGTGGCTGTGGAGCAGACCAGAATGTCCAGACCGTGGCCCGCTGGGGCTCTGTGATGTGCTAACAGTGAGCTTGCCATCTGTGTAGACTACACTACCTATTTAGAAAAAGGACTGTGTGCCATAGACATTTTTAGGGGCAAAAATTAATACTGAGGATATTTAAGCCTTTTAGGTTTTTCTTGTCTAGATTCAAAAGAATGGACAGAGGTTCAAGTCCAGAGTAAAACTTACTTGAACGCTGCTGACTACAGAAAAATTAATACTACACAGAAAATGTTATTAACGGAGTATTAACCCTTAGCGCCTGGTTACCTAGAAGAGGGGATGTCATCCCCTTTTCCCTGAAGAGCAGAATAGGTGTCTCCCCTTGGCCTGCAGCCAGAGACCTCAATGGCTCTTTGTCTCCCGTCTTGCCTGAGGCACTGCTGGGTTTATAAACCCCAGGTCATGTGATCCAGTCCACCAATCAAAACCTGACTTGGACCATAACGTCATCTGTGGCTTTCATTGCCGGAATGGATATATGCACATTAGGCACGGTCATTACAGAAAGAATAATGTAATAATAAAGTTATAGGTAGATAAGAATGGAGCAGGATAATATATTTGATAGGTAGGAAAGACATAAATCAAGAAGAGAAATAGCTAAAAGAAGCCTTTGCTGAAAGCCTTTGCAAAGTGAGTTATTGTTGTTTTGTTTTTTTAATGGTGGTAACTAATGTTAAATTAAGGATGGTAAAAAAAGTTACACTTAAAAAAAATGTCAGCACTTCGGAGTTTCTGCATGCATGCTAGGGTAGCGAGTCTGGACGCAGACCTCTCCGATTTTCACATCGGATGAAGCCAAAGACCCTTTGAATCTTTTAATTCCCTTATTCTCCTAGAGCTCCAGTGCCCGCAGTACCGGGGGATACAGGTGTCGACTTCCTGCCTTGATGCCGAGTGGCTGGATCGGATGGATACTGTAATGCCCCTTTCCCCATGTGTCCCGAATCGTCCTCCCTTTTCTTGCCTGCTCTCCCAAGTTACTCTGCGGCTGGCTCGGCAACGCCGACTCACATCTGCCCTGTATTAAGCTTGTGTTTTCCTTGGAGCATGGGCGGCTGTATCGGATATTCCTGAGGGTCACTGCTACCTCTGTTGTAAGCCCTGCTGTTATTGGTTTGGGCCAAAAGCCAGTTTTCCCACGTGCCCATGTGGAGAGGCTAGCTAGTTACGAGATGGGGTCGTAACTGCCCTTTGTCCTTGACGGGGCCGGGCAGTGGCTTGAGATCACCCAAGCAAAACGGCTTTCTGTGAGCTGCCTTTCAAAGAAAGCTGGAAATCTCAGCCTTCAGACATGGCT